AGACAAATACAGACATTCAGGAAGACGGCTGAGATGCTGGCACCTGCTTTGAGAGGCTCCGTGATATAAAAAAAAGAATCAAAAGGCTTTTTAACATTTACTTAATCTTAATCAGTCTTCAGTCATCACTTAAATTGGCACTGTAAGTTCTGTGGACGTGGAGCTGACATCCTAACTGCTTAAATGAGATCACACTGTGCTAACGCAAATATTATTGTAACACTGTAATTGCATTTTGAATAATATTGAGCAGCCGTTGCTGCTTTTATTCTCCTTGTATGATGCTGTTTGATGAATGCGTCAGGCTGACGTGATTGTATTAAGAGCCAATGGTGCTAAAGCGCTGTTAGTAACTCTGGGAAGCTAAAATCTTCATCAGATTGCAAAGCTGCAATAATATTGGACTGAAAAGGAAATGATGTTTTGTTATTCTTAGAAACCCCGTGTTACTAAACATGCAGTGTTTTTCTACACGTATGTTTACGCTGGTCTTTAAAATGAAATAGGCTTCGCACTATCAGAGTATGAGGTGCTCAGTGAATTCAGTGTCATTTGAAAGGTAGTCATAATCACAACTAAACTTCAGTTTATATAATGCTGCTGATTCTTTCATCGTGGTATACAGCAGTTCTGCAGGCTATAACAGTAAATGCTGCTGCCACCTCCTAGCAGAAGCTCTTGCTTGACTGCTGTGGCTGGGTAAAGTCAATTGTAAACACCAATCTGCTTGTCCTGTCATTACTTTAGATTTAATTAAAACCATAAAACTAGAAGCATATTCTTGCTAGCTTTGTGCAGTCACAGTTCATTAATGATACTGTAAAGGCCCGATCTCCTTTATCTGGACGTCTGTACAGCTAAAAGGATCTGCTCAGCAGATCTAGTGGGAGTGTGCAAAGTTAAAATAAAAAAAGATCAGAGAAGTAAGAAGGCACAATCCATGCAATGACTTAAAATCAGCGGGGAAAATGGGACTGATAAAAGGAAATCAATATGGTTGATCTGTTAAGACCCAAACATTTTAGCCCAGCTGCAGACTGAGCAACAACTCACTGACAGGTGAATAAAGACTGTTACAACAGTCAAGTCACAAAATGAAGGCATGAATAGCCTTTTTCAAAGTCTGTCGAGTAGAGAAATAGCCTCACCTTTTAAGTACACATGAAGCTAAAAGAGCCTAGCTTTAACAACAGCATTTATCTGTTTATCAAAAGGAAAAGAGCTGCTGCCAGTCATTCTCAGGTTCTTCACAGAGGTTTTGTTTGTTTGTTTTTTAAATAGATTTTTAAAGGTCCGAGTCCAGTGGGTGTCAGGTGCTCCAAAAAATCACTTCTGTTCATTTAAAGTAAGAAAAGTTAACGCAATCCATGTTTTCACACAGACCAGACAGTCTAGTAGGGTCTTCAGAAGAGCCACGGTTTTGCATTTTAAGCAGATAATTCTGTGAATTATCTGCATAACAGTAAAATGAAATATCATGTTTGTTTGTTTTTAGATTAAACTCAAGCAGAGCATATACAATGAAAACACAAAGTGGACCAAAAATGGATCCCTGAGGGACCCCACCTTAAAAGTGAAGCTGGTGAGGATGGTGCATACCCCACCCTAACTAGAACAATTCTGTCAGCTGAATAAGATTTTTAATAATTACAGAGCAATACTTTTATTTCTGACAGTGCTCAAACTGAGCAGTTAGAATATCATGCATATTGTAGATAAGGGTACTAATCTCTAAAGGGTCATTTAAAATTTAAAAAAATGCACAGACTAAAATACTTCTGTAACTCAGCTTCAATCTAATAGGAAGCTTAGCTTTTCGGTCTGAAGCTGATAACAGCTTTCTCCAGCACTTTAGTCAAAGTGAACTCATTAAATCACATCTCAAAAGAAGCAGCCCATTAGCAGACCTTTTAGTCTTTCTGTGTGCAATTTGAAGAACATACAAAAATTTTGAACATGCCATTTCTTTTTAATAAATATAAAATTTAGTAATGGCTGTCTCTACTTACAGCAATGAAAACAAGGCAAACTGCTCTGAAGGCTATTTTAGACCAGATCAGTGCAAGTGAAAATAAATGGGACAAATTTGCATGCCATCAAACCAACTCTTCTAAATGAGAAAAAGTAAACAAAGAGCACATTTGCCTACAGTTATAGATCAAAATTAATGCCCTAGGTTTTCTTGAGTTCAGTTAACAAGTTTAACAAATTAAAAACTTATGAAGACTCCAGTTTAAGTTCAGTTAATGCAGATTTTTAACACAGCACTTCAACTTCGTGTTTTAAAATCTCTATTACAGTGGCTACATAAAATGTAATTGTTCATCTTGAAGCGAGCTGAATGTTCCCGGCAGTTTATTTAATACAAAGTTACAGCTTAATATACAGAATTGATGGTGGCTTTGAAGGAACATTCAGGAGCTCCCCTAAATATTGCACTTAATTTGCTGCTCCTTCCTCAGTGGCCCACCCTGGCAAGACTGTGCTATATTGGTAATAATGTAGTAAGGCTGCAGCAAAAGGTAATGCTAACCCATGAACAGTGCATAGAGACATGGAGACAACATAGAGACAGGCAACAGGTCACACTCCTACATGAAATAAAACTGGAAGTTCTGTTGTTGATGTGCCACCCCAATATTTTTAGTGGCCCCCATATGGCCATGGTATGAAAAAAGTCTGGAGGCGCCCCTGCTTGTCACGATAGATAAGCGTGAACATGGACGTCTGTCCATTCACAGTGGCCAAATTTACATCCCTTAAGACTATAACCATGGTAAATACACAGAGCACCCCTTTGCCTGTATTTAGAGCCTTACAGAGCTGTTAGCAGGTTCATTTAATGGTAACAATGAATACTTAAATACAATGCAAAACCCACACTACAGCTCCAGATTTTAAAACCACAGTTTATTCATCTGTCTGTGTTTGCTCATAAACAAAGCACACCAGGAAGTCGTGCTTCACACAACGCAGTATATGTTTTTTGTTTTTATTTGATAAAATCACTTACTCCAGACTTTTTGGTTGTTTAAGTAGTACCACTATCTTGATTGCAATAAATGAGACATTGAATCATTTATTACAGTCCCCAAGGAATTTCAGATTATTGTTGATATGCTTGTTGCCTCTGACATGCTAAACATGGCTAAATGTTTCATTTATCATCTAATTTCCTGTCTTATTATAGCGGTGACTCATTTTTAACAGCAAAGTGACTCTTACATATTTTCTGTCAGTTTCATTTTTATGACTGCTTGCTTTGTTTCCACAATCACCTCTACTGAAGCTGCCCATGTTGTGCAATAATGTGTTTAAGGCCAACTTTATAAAGTTAAAAAAAAAACTCAAGCAAAAAAACATTGGTTGAAAATGTTGGTTTGCATGAACCATTCAATATTTTAAAAGGAATGCCAGCTCTACACCAATTTAAAGCTTGTGTATGTGTGTATCAAATGACTTTGAATGTGGGATCAAAAACAGAGCAAAAAGCATAGTTAGCAAACGGATTTGAGCAGCCATTCGGCTACGGTAAATGATAAAGGGGAGACATTAGTGGAGAAAATAGCTGGCGACAAGCAAACCAGTCGTGGAAATGGCTGAAAGCAGACTCTTAAAAGCTATGTGGGGTTTTTTAAATCATAAAAGCATCACGGTCCTATCCTTTGTTAGGTAGGTACTTTCAGCTGCCCCCTTATTTCCCATGAGGTCACCACAGCAGATGGATTGGTATATTTGATTTGACACATATTACACCAGATGTCTTTCCTCACACAACCCTGCCATTTATCCAGACTTAGGACACTAGGAACACATTAACTTGTGACCCCCTAAGGGTCGGCATGCGAGTTCTCAAACAAGGGATGTTTTGCATATTAGACCTATGTGTTAACTACTGCAACATGGAGCCACTGGACCGTAGCCTTTAGCTCGTGTACCACAGACCTCTTAACAATCTGGGTTTGTTTTGACTTTGAAATAGCTCACACAGTCACTATATTCAAACCCAGTAATGGCATAATTCCTCTGAAGTTGTGAAGATAAATCTAATACATCAAATGTGTCTCTAAGGGTCTCCTTTGAATTCAGTCCTTGAACTCTTATTTGATTGATCTGATTGGCTGATCTTACGTAGAAGCAACCAAGCAAATGTAAAACTTGACATGCTAATCCTCTCTTAGCTATGTGCTTAGCTATCAAACTGTTTCAACTACCCAGCTCATATATCAGCTTGTTTGTTTGTTTCATTTACTATGAGCTTCTCCTTTTAGCTGTTCCCTTCTTTCTACAGCAGTTCATCTCAGCCTATCCCTGGGATCCACCTCTCTCACATTAATATCCCCCTTCTCTACATCCATGAATCTTCTCTGTGGTATTCCTCTTTTCCTCCTGTCTGGAAGCTCCATATCCAATATCCTCTGTCCAGCATATCCACCATCCATCCTCTGTACCTCTGAGCCTGCTAGCCCTTCACCTCAGCTACGTTTTTGGTCTCTACCAGGTCTTGAGGGAATTTTTTTTCTCTTTAATTGCCGACTGCCTAGCTAAAGGCTAATCACCATTTAACCAAGCCTCTGCATGCCCTCCTTCAGTACATCAGTACATCCACGAATGGTCTCTGTCTGCATTTAAAAACTATAAATCAACTGATTCAGTTCTTATATATCCCAGTTCACTCCGTTAGCATAAATGTCAATCATACAGGATAACCTTATTGTTCTTACAGCTTTACAGGCATAAAATAATGAGAAAAAAATCATTTCCTGTTTAAAGAAATATAAATGAATTTTTTGTGTCTGCTGTTATTGTCAGGATCCATATGGCTCCAGTAATCCTAACAGGCAAGCTGGGTATAGGGTGAGATGCTAAACTAAAGGCAAAGAAGGACAATATCACTGTCTTTTGTGCTCCACTCACAACTGCTTAATAGGCTCATTGCTTTCAACGCCCAGCAATAATTGAGGCTGACTCAGACAAGCATATGTTTCAGAAGTTTTCAAAAAGACTTCTGTGATAAGGAGAATTATCTGAAACAATAAAAGCGAGGATGACAAAAATAACATCTTGAAAAAGCCCTTTCAGTTAACTGTGCAAACTCATGAAAATGTTTTACTTCTCTTCACACAGAGACAATGCAAATGTGACATTTTGTAGTTTTTTTTGTCTTTTTTTTTTCAGAAACATAATAACAGGCCTCTATAGAGGCATGCAGCAGCACAGTCAGTAGCTCCAAACAGCACACTGTGCATCAGCCTCCCATGGACCTGGCGGTCCCTTAAACACTGTTTCTTGTCTGCACTGTACCTACAGATTAACAGCGAAAATCATGCCTGGCTTACTTCTGCCCACTGCGTCCCGGGAACAAATAGGCTGAGCTATGTCAGCCTATTATGATTTAGTCCGTTTCATAACGCAGTGTTGACAGTTAGTGCAAAATACCCCGTTTGGAAAACAGATGGGATTTTATTGCTGTGTGCACATAACATAAATGGATGCAAATATAGCTTTTCCCACATCAACAGTCAGCCAGAAAAGAGCCGCAAAAAAGAGTCGTCACTGTGTGAACGCAGCATGAGACGGAAGTGGGTGTCACAGTGTACAACAAAACCTTGAGAAGTAGGTGTTGAGCTCAGAAGGGAAAGAAGAAAAAGTGATACCAATGGGTTTTTTTCTCAGCTTGAACCCAGATGTCCAGCACATTCGGATCCCTTATCTTATTTACACCATTTCTCAATCCTCAAAGTCACCTTTTGATTTCTAATCCTTGGTTTTCCTCTAAGCTTCTGTAGTCTTAACATTTTATTTCTGCTTTTTCCATAAATTCATCTCTTTTTTTGACCTTTACCTTTTCAACCTTTCCTTTGTTTGTCCTTTGTCAATTTGACTTTAACTCGTCCTTTCCGAAGACCTTTCAACTTTTGTCTCCTTTGATTAAATTAAACGATGGATCCTTTGAGGTTTTGCCCGGTGATTCCGCAGGTTATGAATAACACATTAGCGTAGAGATACAGGAACATGGAGACTTGATATTGCTTGACAAGACTCCATTCAGGGCAATATTCAAAGACCCGAGGGAAATGCACCTGATTTGTGGGATCCTTCTGGTTAAGCTAACAATTATGATGTCTATCTAACTACAAAGGAGTCCAAACAGACTGAAATGATCTAATAAAATGATAAATGTCACACAGTTTTTGTTTCAGTGGTTTTCTATCTAAGTGAGACTCATACAATATTGTTAAAGTGCTGAGAGTTATAAACAAGAACTGCCTGAGGCGTGCAATGCTCTCATTTCTGTTCTGTCCAGTTTCGTTTCAGTGGCTCGCTACATAAGAAGGCAGCAGTAGAAGTTCTTCTTTTCATGGTTCATGTTATGCAAATCAAGAATAAATGCTCACCCTCAAGCCTGAATTATGCAAAGCTGTAGAATTTCATGTCAAACAACATAGTTCACCTTTCTCTTGCCCTCTATTAGATTTCACATGCTTCGTTTCTCGCTGTTTTCATCTCTTTCCTACTCTACATCATTTTCATGGAGCTATTTCATCTTTACATTGCCTTCCCCTCAATTACTTTCTCTTATTCCTTCGTTACCACACTTACTGCATGCTCCATCTTTTCACCCCGGACAACCAAAATCTAATCTTGAGCTTCATCCCTTCTTGTCCTCCTTCCATTATTTAGGTCTGGTGGCCACAATAAAGGAACACATCACCAAGCCGACGGCAATGGCCCAGGGGCGAGTTGCGCACCTGATTGAATGGAAGGGTTGGGGTGGATGCGGTGAAGCCAGGGGAGGCGGAGGTGGATGGAGCGGGGCCTGGGGTAGAGGAGGCGGCGCCTGGGGGGGCATGGAGGCCGAGCTGCAGGAAGACGAACAGCTTTATTCCCAAATGACGGACGAGTTCAAAGAAGCTCGCTTCGCTGCAGGTGAGGCAGACGGATGAGTTTCATAGGAGGAAAAACAAGATGTTTTCTGTGGAGATAAAACGATGCTGTGATCCCTCCCAACATTGTTTTTGTGTGATTGGTTTGTGCCGAGGGAGCATCTACAAAAATCAATAACCTTTAGAACGTCTGATGACGGTGACTCAAACCTCGTGCACTTATTGAATTTCCCTCTTTTCTTTTTTTTTTGTCTTGTGGTGCTTTAAGAAAAACAACTGATCGACTTCTGAGAAGCGCAGCACGAAATGTGTTTGTTTGGCTTGTGTCTCGCAGGTGTTGCGGAGCAGTTTGCCCTGGCTGAGGCAGCCATGAACGTGTGGTCCATGAGCGACAACACAGAGCAGCCGTCCACCAGCTTACAAGGTTGGTGTCTCCTTTATCGGCATTTCATTTTTGTTTTTCATGCTGCGAACGTGGCCGATCCATCGTGTCTGAATACAAATGAACCAAATGCATTCATTTCTTTTATAACGGTCTCCGTCTGGGTTTGATTAATTATTATCCCAAAGTCATAATTTTACCTTCAAGTCGTTGCTTTAATGTTGACAATGGATTTTATTTGCAGACAGACATAAAAGATAAAAGAATGAATTTGTCTTTCACAACATACCTGATTTATAGCTGCATAGTGATGTAAGCTGCTCTGTTGTCTTCTTTATTTTGTTACTGCTGCTTTGGCATGGAGATTAATCTGTCCTCTATTAAATAAGAGCCATGAAAGAATCCAACTGACTGACAGTTACTTTACTTGACATCAAACGTCATCAGTGTGTCAGGATTTATTTTGTCTAGTAGTGGTGGAGATCTCAGAGGAACTGTTTATGCATGGTATTGGTATTTGTAGATATCTCACGTGTTGTTGTTCAGCCGAGGTTGTATTTATGTAGTTTGGATTATTTTTTGTGATGTTCTTACACATAAAACCTTAGAACAAAAAGAGAACGTGCTTTCTGTTTAGCATGACTCTTTGTCTTTTTTCTGTTAGCTGTTTTGTAAGGAAATTTAAAAAAAATTACTGCCTAAAATTCCAACTTAAAGGAAACTTCACCAACTGAAACGTCTCCTAATTGTCACAGTATGGAGTCATGCTTTGTTCCAGTTAGTTTCTGGTTACATTTTGGTGATTTCTAGGTCTAGGTGAACTTAGTGTGCAAATTGTTCTGATGTGCAAATTGCGGTTGAGGTAGTTTAGCTGTTCAGGAGTCTGATAGCAGTGGGGAAGAAGGAGTTGTTGAGTCGAGATGTTCTGGATTTCACACTTCTAAACAGTCCGTGCGAACAGTCTGTGTTGAGGGGTGTGTGGGGTCTCTAAGGATGGAGGCAGCTCTCCTCTGGACTCTGTGATGGTAGATGCTCTGCAGAGAGGGCAGCGGGGTCCTGGTGATCTTCTCTGCAGTTCTTGGCCGACGTCTCAAATTTCCTCAGCCTTTCCTTAGGTTTGTTCCCGTGCCTCCCACGTTTAGAGTGTAATGATTCAGTGTAGGTTTGGTTCTGTCTTCATGTTCATTCATCTGTTTCCCGGTCACATCTTTTGCTCCCTCTCTTCCTTATGTTCCGTCAATCTGCGTCTCAGTGTGAGTCTCTGGTTTCCTGTTTTATGGTGATAGTTCTGTGTGAGTGTATTTTGTTTTGCTTCCTCCCTGACTCGTCATGTCTGATTAGGTTCAGCTGTGTCTTCCTGTTGTGTATTCCCTGGTTACCCTCTGTGTATATAGTGTGTGTCTTCTGCTTTGTTCCCCGTCAGTTTATCTGTTAACTTTCCCATATCTCCCCGTGTTCCAAGTTCCTCATGTCTCAGGTATTCATGTGTTCCTGCTGTTCCTGGTTTTCGTGTATTTGGTTTTCCCACTTTAGGATTTTGTGATTAGTTTCTCATTCATCTGGTTTTTCATGTCTGGTTCCTGTTCTGTTCTTCGGCTTCAATAAAAGTTATGTCTTTTGTTATAATCCAGTTCAATTTCCACATTCCATGTAAAGACCTTCTTAAAAAGTCACAGCAACCTGTGATGACTCACTTGTTTGTGAAATCCAGATACTTTTTTTCCTTTTGTTTTTACAAAGCTACCATCTGACTGATACTGATACCCCTCCACAGCAGCACAGAGCCACTACCTGTCTCAGTTCCTGCTTGATGGTGGAAGCGTTGGCGTCCCTCAGCATCTGTACAGCATTCACACCCAGGTGTATGGCAACAACACTGCAGTCAACCTGATCCCCCCTCCACCACCACCAATCAGCTCCGCTTCCCTGATGTCCAACGCCCAGGACAGAGATCATCCTATTCAGGACAGAAGCACTGTGATTGCAGAAGCCGCTGTCCGCCACGTAGACAGCAGCTCCTTATCCGAGGACGATGTTTTTTACAACTAGGCTGTAAAAAAAGAAGTCTTGATGGCAATCTCTAAAATGAGCCTCGGTGTAAGGAGTCTCAACCACCAGCAACAAGCGAGAGGAGAAGTAAAGGCAGACATTTAATGTAAATGGCTTTTCTGAAAAGGTTCAGAAGACTCCGGATAGTATTTTCTTGAGAGCTAAGGCATATAGTTTTGTGAATGTACATAGTTCAACTGTGACATTAAAAAAAACATTTTTTATTCCATGTACATGAAGTAGTTATATAGAGCTGAACAGTCAAATGAAATATGCTGTAAATACCTTGATATAAAGTATGTTTTAATATATGTGATGAACAAGGCTGTCTTGTTTGTGTCGTGGTCTCTTTTCTTCTAACAGGTGAACTGAAGGAAAAGGTTTCGCTTATAAATTAAGGATTTCTCGTGTGAATAGAGAGGTGACGTAAGCACACATCCAATTATCCGAGTTTCAGCCGTGATTAGCCATAATTCACACTTTCCTGTCTGCGAGCTGAGAGCAGATGCAGGGAGCGGTGAGAGACGAGGAGAGCGTAGAAAAAACCGAGTGAGAAGAACACAGAATATACTGTGCAGCCGGTGTGTGTTTGAGAGGGAGAGAAGAGAGAGGAGAAAGGTGGTGTTGCTGTTTCCTGTCATGATGTTCTTTTAGCACAAGCTTACACAAAGTGAAGCTTTGCCGCGCGGCGTGCTGTGGCTATTCTGTTACCTCAGTGGCTGTGCACGGCTAGTGTGATCACATCCATCAACAAAGTCTTTAAGGAGTTTATTTATTACTGCAGTGCAGCAGCATCTAAAGTTAAATGTGACGCAGCTGAATGAAAGGTCACAAGTGTATGTTAGCAAGAGAAAAGTAAACAGAGGCTGTTTTTCAAAAGAGGGCCTCGGTCTAACAGTAGGACAAGGATAAAAAAAAGAAGTCCGAGATGGCAGCGTCCTGCAAAAGAAGAAGAGCGACTCCTCTGGGAGCTTATGTTTGACCACCAAACGTCTGCGACTGTGGCTGCTTTCGTTCATCGCAATCAGATTACCCATGTGCTAACTTGAAATGAATGGACAGCAAAATTGTTGGCTTGGGTTGATGATTTGGAATTGAATGCATGAGCAACTGAAAGGCTTCCAAGGGGGTTTTGGAAGTGGAGCCACTCAGACTCAGATCACAACAGAATTTAATGCACCAGTGGCCTGCAATTACCACTTGCGGCCACAGAGGCTCCTGAAAGCCAAAAAGTAATTTATTGCTTCAAAGAATTTCTTAAAGGATGACTCCAGTTTATTCATGTTTGCCGCTGGAGCTTGTTATTTTCTGCCCTTGTTCTCAACAATTACTTACATAGTTATTACACTGTCAGCATAACTGAAGAATGCCAGTGTCTTTTCCTTGTGGTAACTCTAGGAAGGATGTCCAAGTCACAAACTGTTACATTCAACACATAGCAGCTATAATTTTAAATTCAGGGGGCCTTCAGTGGGCAACAAGTTTATAAGATTCAGTCAAAATGTGTGAATAGGTTCGTGAAATTTAGGCACCTTACCTTGTTTGAATTTGGTGGATTTCCAGTTTCCTGTTTGTTGATCACTCCCTTGAAGTCTAGTTATGACTTCTGCTGTGCACTGTGCACTCAACAATTTCTCCTCAGACCTCAAATTTGTGCAGAGGAAAAGTGAAGTTATGTTTCAAATTGACCTGAATTTCACACGGAGGTGGGGATGAGAGAGCAAAGCAATTTTCTGCAGTTTTAGTGGAAAAGTCACTGTTCCCGAGCCCAAGGGCTTCGTGTTAGGCTGTCAGTGCAGAGTTGTAATATAACAGCCCAAAGAGGCTGAGGAAAAAAATTCAGCAGGAACGATCTGAACCTTGAGGTGTGGCAGCGTAATATATGGCACATGTGCAATGAAAAGGTCTTTTGGTCACATGAGCATAGAGGTCTGGCTCACATAAGTACAAATGCTCAGAACAGGACTTCTACTGAAAGGTTTAAAAATAGCAGCCATGCTGAAAACAGCCCAGGGGCTTACAGGAAGACCTTGAACCAAATTTAAATCAGGACAAGCTTTTTGATTTTACAACCCCAAGTCTGAAACTTCTGAACTTTCAAAATTACCTCTCATAGATACAAGTCACAGGAGAAATCATAGGTCAGTGTACCAAAGTAGTGCTGTGTGATACTGAAATGTTGGTATCGATTACTAATACCAACACCAATATCGCTACTTTGAACTTATAAATGCAGCTTATGAGTTGAAGCATCGATTTGCAAATTCTGAACACATTTTAACAAGTTAACACAATAAAACACAGCTTTCAGCTTTTCATCAGAATCCAAAATGGTAAATGGTAAAAGGCCTGTATTTGTATAGTGGTTTACTTAGTCCCTAAGGACCCCAAAGCGCTTTACACGCTCAGTCATCCACCCATTCACACACTGGTGATGGCAAGCTACATTGTAGCCACAGCCAGCCTGGGGCGCACTGACAGAGGCTGCCGGACCCTGGAACCACCAGTAGGCAACGGGTGAAGTGTCTTGCCCAAGGACACAACGACCGAGACTGTCCAAGCTGGGGCTCGAACCGGCAACCTTCCGATTACAGGACGAACTGCCAACTCTTGAGCCAAGACTTTATTTATCCCCAAGGGGCAATTATGTATTTTGAAACTTTTTTTGGAGATCTGAAATGTAAATGTGCCCATCTGGAAAGCACTTTGGATTAGCTTCTGTTGTTTAAATGTGCTGTGGGCTGTAAATAAAACAGACGTGACTGTCAAAGGTTCAGACATTTTTCATAGTGCATGTTTTGTTTAACACAATTCATTGGGCTACACACTGAACTTGGAGGATAGAAACAAAGTATCTTATCATATATTGGATTGATCCGCCCAGTTCTTTACCAAAGATACACTACACTGATCCCTTAAAAAATGCCATAAGCAAAAAATAAAAACAAAAACATTTGGGTGTATTTTCAAGGAAGCCTCATCTTGCAAAAAGACACCCCCCCCTCCCCCACCAAGGGAAAAAAAAAACATGGCTGCCCCTGGGTTATCATTTAAGATGCATGGTCACATAACTTTCAGTTGCGCCCCACAGGACCTAATATATACTGAACAGAGACTGACTGTTATTACTTGTATACATTTTAAAACTGTTTTTCTTCTTATTAGCACTGGTTAATATTCTTTGTGCTTACAATTTTACTGTGAGACAAAGTGCAAAGCAGTAAATGAGACTGTGTGCTATCTGCTTAATGGACGAGATCCTTCTAATTACAAAAATAAAAATGAAAGATAATAGGCTCTGATAAATGTTTTTCACAGGAGCTTGCAGGTGATAACAGTATAGTTTGGTGTGCAAATATTGTTAGAGAAATTACATCATTATTAAACACGTTGAGCTAATCAGGCAGAGACGGATACATGTTTATTTAAAATAAATTTTGATAGGATGTGCTGACGTGATGATGTCGCTGTGATGTCGCTCAGATTTCTTTGGCCAAGTCCTCTAATATCCTCTTCATCTGGAGGAGAAAAGGGAGAAGGAGGAAGAGATGGAGGTAAGGAACAAATGAGACTGCTTTGAATCCATAAGTAGCTATTTTCTCCCAGCGCCCTGCATAATTTTAACAAATCCATACAAGGACGTGGTCTCGTTTGCACAAGGTAAAGCTCATTTGAGGAACATGGGAATGTGACAAAAACGTGCATGTTGAAGGTAACATCTGTGCATGGGTGAAAGTACACAAAAACACTCCCTACCTCTGGCCACGTGATAAGCCCGACCAGCTTTCCTTCGTCTGCAACAAACAAGGTTTGGGATCCGAGTAAACTCAGTATACTGTGGGCCTGAGAACACGCAGAGGAAAAAAGGGTTAATGGAAGCAATTTCTCAGATGAGATCATAAATATTCATCTGACGTCCTGGAAACTGCAGGGTTTTTGTTGTTGTCGCTGTTTTGTTTCTTCCCCGCTGTTTTGTCAGATACGTTGCAAAGAAGACTTTTTTTAAAAATTATATGCCCTGTGGATGAGACTGTCTTTATCTTCACATATTTAAGTAACTGAGTGTTTAGAGTGTTTTTCAGCCATCTGTTGAATCTAATTTTAATTTGCTCTCATTTGGCCTCATTTTTTGTCTCTTCCAACTTATGAGAGAAATATCTTGCTCTTTATGTGCTAGGGTAATGTAATCCAACAGTATCTGTCCACTATCATTTGTTAACCCCTTAGCAGTCCAATTAGTCCCCTAAACCATCCAATGTACCGTGGGCGGTACGTCCGACTGCTAACAGGTTAAGCAGTGTAGTGGAGGTTATTATTTCTGAGAACAGCTGCCTTCTTATTAAAAAAAAAAAGTCTAGCAAGTCCCCCAAAATAATTGCATATTGTTGATCAGAAACACAAGGATTTGGGTTCGCTGTGTGCAATTCAAACATCTACTTCACTCTAATTGGCTACAAAGCTTTTTGTTTGAGTGTGCAGCGAGAGAGGGAGAGAGAGAGAGCACCAGTTAACAGGGCTTTTAACTGTTGGCACTTGGTTGCTGGTTGTTTGATTGGTTGGTTGGTTTGCTGTGGGTATAAAAATATTTTGCAGGAAAAAAGATGGTGACAGCAACAAGGAGCAGGCAATGCCAGAAGGTGGAGGAAGTGTAGTCTCCTGTTGCTGTAGCAGCCGATGAGTCAGTGAAGCACACGTGCCACAGCCTCTGCTACAACTTAAGGTTTTGTGAGGAAGGGAAGAGGATGCTTTTGCAACCCAGCAAGATAAACCCTCTGCGCAAGCTGCAAGTTCACCTGCCAGAGACAAACCTGAGCTCACAAAAGAGATTCATGATCTCATGAGTTTTGCTCCTTGCTTGAATAAAAGTGTTGTGCATTAAAAAAAAAGGTTTATTGTATTTATATTTGTGATCTAATCATCAAAAAAGTGAGATTTTCTGGCATTCTGACTGCATTCCTTTTAGGAGAACAACAGCAGAGTGGAGAGAGATGAAGAGTGTGGCAGATGGTTGAGGCACTCTAAGAGCTAGTGGAGAGGTTCAGATAGACAGAGATAAAGAGTTAACACAGTTCAGTTTATCCATTCAGAAAATTTGCTCATTACTTAAGAGAAGCAGGAGATGTGAGACCAGATAGGTCCATTTTCAGAGACAGACTGCATCAGTGTTTTACTCATATCTAAATATTTCAAAACTAAGCTAGCTCCAGTTGCTTTTATTTTCAATTTCAGTCTGTGCATAAATGGAATAAAACAGTGAATAAAACAGCTCATTAGTTATTAGCCATTTCCAACTGATTATGCTATGCTCTGCTAACTGCCTCCCGGTTTGTGCTTTGGAAAGTGTGCATCATCCTCCAGTTCTCAGAAAGTGATAAACAGGATTTCTTGCAATTGTTGGGCCAACTGTTGCTTTAAATCAATGACTGGTAACGCTGCCAGTTCCATTTAACAAAGAGCCCCTACCTCCTGAACAGTGTTGTGAGGTGATATCACGATGGAGGTTTGGTAAATGCAGCATCCTTCATCCAGATGTTTCTCCGGACTCTGCACACACACACGGTTTTCTATTGCTCATAAACATGAATCAGTAATTTGGAGTAAAATGCAACTGAAATATACAAAATCAAATGTTTATTTATTCAAATTATAATTGGTTAAGAAAAATATTCATGGTATAAACTCAAGTCAAGTAAATGCCTTGATTGGTTTTATATTGTGCTTGCATAACAACACTAGAAACTAGAAAATTTTAATGTAATTTTGTAATTACAATACAGTCAACATTTTGGGCAGACATTGTTTTGGAGTTTCACAGCTAAGCATGACCTGGAATTAATACCAGTAGGTTCCATTTTCTTGAAAAACTGATTTCCTACTTTTAACAGTTTATCGTAATCCTCTAAAAAAATAAAATAAAATAAAGTATTTTTCTGTGAATGGAAAATCCTTTAAAGTGGATGTGAGTTGTCATGAAACGAGCTCTTCCATCAGTTCGCAGTCCTGCCAGCACATCCTACTTCAATCATCTTTTTTTCCAGCTGTTTCACATTCAGTCAATGTCAAATGGATTGCACGGACACGCTCTTCTTTTTAAACGGCTGCTTTTAAAAAAAACCCTCAGTGAACTCTCTGTCTCCATTCAGCCTTTTCACCTCAGTCTTCCAGCGACGCAGGAACGTCAGCAGCTCTGATCGCAGGACAAACCCCAGCAAAATCTGCGACTCTTCAATAAAACAGAGGAGAGAAAAATCAATTTTCTTTGCCACAGTCGGTGCTGCAGTTTAAAGTGCGCACAGCTCTCTAGTGGCTTTGAGTCATCTGTTCCAAACACAAAAATTAATCCGTGCAACTGCTGCCGAAAGGCTCAGCTGCCCAATTGACTATTTTCTCATAATTGTCACCTTCTCGGGGAAGCACTTTTCTGAAGCTGTACTGCTGCAGCCTTTAAGATGGCTACAACTTTTCATCATTTTATTTTACTTTCAGTTGATCTTTGTGATGTCATACCTGTGCGTGCGCTTTAGACCAGCATGTATGTAAAATTTAAAAGCAATAAAATGAAGAAGAGATAATATAGGCAGACTATTGGAGTGAATTATGATCAAATACATTTGTCCGCTCACCGTAGGAGTCTACCACAGGGATTTGCATTTCAGTGCTGGTTCTGACAGCTTGCTCAGCCTCCACTGGCCCAGCTGCTTTCTGAAGCAGCACCGATTTCACCGCAACCTGTCCGACTGGTGTGGATGGAAGCCTGCAAGAGAGATGAATCGTGTCACACCTGGAGAAAAAGCAGCAGTGCTTAAATTAAATGATCAATTCTGAAATTGCATAATAGCGGCTGCCAAATGATAAACAGGAACGCATAAAGGAGAACTGCAATGCTCTGCTTTTACTGATGAATTTGGATCACTTCCACCCCTCATACTCAGGATGCATGTTGTATAAGAGCTGGTTGGAAGTCAGACAGTACAGCTGCTGCTGTCAGGGCAGTGATGTAGAAGACCTTTTGTTATTCCAACAACACTTCATCTGACAGACATAGGCTGATCCATGCGTTGTCTGAACTTACCAAAGTGGTGTCATGATATCTGTTAGTCCTGTGTGATACCGTCAATTTCGGCATCGATCTGATACCAAATAAATACAGGGTCAGTATTGCTGTTACTGAATAATTAGGTAACACGACAAAATACACTTTTCAGCCTTTATTTATTTTGAAACTGGGTTTCTGGCACTTTGGGTCAACTTCTGCTGCTTAAACGTGCTATAGGTTATAAATAAAATATATCTGAAAGTGTGACAGCATTAAGCATGAGAAAGCATTAGCCCTCTCAAGGCAGGCGTTGCCAATTTGCAACACTTAAAAACTAACAACCTGATTACCCCACATGCATATTTTATGAGTTTTTTTTTTTACTCAGAAGTACCACTGCAGGACTTGGTTGTGCATTAGCAACTAAAAACTTAATTTGAGCCTGAGGGTTAAGGGCTGATATCCTGTGTGGGTGGCAAACAGATGATGATCCAAGTATAGACACATAAATCTCTGTTAAATCTGAGTTCATTTGGATTTTCATTCTAATTACAGTTCTTAGCAGATATATGATTACTGACATTCATAGCCTCTGTGCCCAGTTTCCAGATATTGTTAGTGTGGGTTGTCATGATGAGTTTCTATTGTGTTTTTTGTGACTGACTTGGTTAAAAGATTAAATTCATTGTTGTGAGTGTTTTGATTCTGATGGTCGCCTGTGCTCCTGGGAATCGCCTGGTAATCAGTTGTAGGCGAGACAGGTTTGTTGATTGTTGATTGGTTAAAACGTCTTGATGCATTCTCAATCATCCAGGAAAATAAATCTCCAAAAATTGATTCTGTTCATCTGGACGTAGCGTTTTGTGGGAGAAACGTTTCGTCACTCATCCAAGTGACTTCTTCAGTCTCAGCTGACTGCAGGTTTCCCCAAATCTTATAAACATCCAGAACACCCTGGATTTCGTTGAGAAGGTGAGAGATGTCATTAT